GTGTTAACTATTAGATATGACTTTGTAAGAAGGTTGAATTGTATCGTGTTAACTATTAGATATGACTTTGTAAGAAGGTTGAATTATATCGTGTTAACTATTAGGTATGACTTTGTAAGAAGGTTGGATTATATCGTGTTAACTATTAGATATGACTTTGTAAGAAGGTTAGATTATATAGTGTTGACTATTAGATAAGAATTTGTAGGAAGTTTGAATTATATAGTGTTAACTATTAGATATGACTTTGTAAGAAGGTTGAATTATATAGTGTTAACTATTAGATATGACTTTGGAAGAAGGTTGAATTATATAGTGTTGACTATTAGATAGGACTTTGTAAGAAGGTTGAATTGTGTAGTGTTGACCATTAAATGTGAATTTGTAGGAAGGTTAACTTTGCTAGTGTTTATTTTCCCAAAAATGGAAAGAAGTTTCTTCAGTGTAATTTCTTTGCTTGTTTGGTCCTAGAAAGTGATGGTCAGTTGTAGGATATATTGCATTAACATTGACTTGTCAACACTTGATATGTTTAACTTTGTGTAACAGAAAAAGCAACAATAAAAGGCCTCATTAAAGAGTAAAATAACTTGCCTATTTAAATACTGTAGCTGACTACTAAATAGAAAAATAGGGGTGCGGTGGGGAGGATGCTGCTGGCATCTAATGGGTAGAAGCCAGAGATACTGCTAAATATCCTACAATGCATATGATCGTTTTCTGGCCCAAAATACTATCATGCCGCTATTGAGAAAGCCTGTTGTAAAAAAAAGAATCAATGCATAAGGTGTTTTCGTAGCAGAAACTGTTCCACCACCCTTGCAGCCACTGAGCCATGATGGGCAGATCCCGAGTCCAGAGGAGTGATCTTACACCAGCTGCATGCTTGACATAGAGTCAGGGTCAATGCTGCCCTATGCCCCCGCATTTGTTCATGCCTTACTTCTGTGGCTGCTGTTTAGATGGGTAAAGTCCTGGCAAACTGCTTGAGGGGAAGTTGAATGTAGCATGTGATAAAGGTGACAAGTGTAGTCAGTGGGGAGGGAGTTTACAACATTGTCTTTGGACTTAGCACTTTGGGGAATATTTTGGCTAACCTCCTAAATTGGATTCCATTTTTATTTCAGTTTTTCTTTTTTCTTTTTTTTTTGGTCAGTGAAGCTTCAAAACTACCAGAAAAGTTTTCTTTTATAATCTTCACATGGGAAGAAGCTTAGTAGAAAGGAACCATTAGATCATACAGAAATTTTAAATGTCTGTGAAGCCAAACAACAAATCAGAGGAAGTAATTATCATCACCTGTCACAAAAGAATAATTTTCTCAATGTACCAGGGGACTTCAGAAAGTTTGTGGGAAAATGGAATTCAAAGGGGGGGGGCGTAATAGAAGTTGTCTGTGACCTTTTAGAAACCTTGAATTTGAACATTTAAAATTGGTAAGTAAAGGGCAAGTCAGCCCCCTACACATACACACACACATTTTAAAAAGTAAAAGTGTAAGCAGACCATGGGTAGAAATAGGCAGTTAAGTTGTCTGACAACAGAAAGACATAGTATAGTCTTTAGATGAACAGGGGAAATAAACAAGCACTCATAATTAAATATAAACAAAGCATTATGTTTTTACTTTGCATCCCGCAGATTGTCAAGCTATGGCAATACATCCAGTGCTGGCCAGAGGGTGGAGACCAGGATACATATCTGTATGCTGATTTTAAGAACATGAATTAATACAAACTCATTCAGTTTTAATGCACATGTCTTTTGAGGCAGCCTTTCCATTTTTGGGCAATTTTCCACACCTTCACAGGCAGGTTTTATTTAGAGCAAGAACAGTGTGACTAGTGTTAGTAATGGGCACATTGTTTTTTTGGGGGGGTTTTGTTTGTTTGTTTTATACTGAAACTTATTTGTTTATTTATTTATTTATTTTAATAGTTTTATTAGGGCTCTTACAACTCTTTTTTTTTTTTGAATTTACCAGTGCTCTTATATTCTTTTATGTTGCTATATTGTTTTTTTATTTTTTTTTTAACATTTTATTAGGGGATCATACAACTGTTATCCCAATCCATACACACATCAATTGTGTAAAGCGCACTTGTACATCGTTTCTCAAAACATTTTCTCTCCATTTAAACCCCCGACATTAGGTCCTCATTTTTCCCCTCCCTCCCCGCTCCCCCCTCCCGCATCAGCCCTTGATAGTTTATAAATGGGTATTTTGTCATATCTTGCCCTGTCCGACGTCTCCCTTCATCCACTTTTTGGTTGTCTGTCCCCCAGGGAGGAGGTCACACCCAGTTCCATGTAATCGGTTCCCTCTTCCCTACCCATTCTCCCTTTACCTTCCCTGTTTTGCCACTCACACCACTGGTCCTATAGGGCTCATCTGTCCTGGATTCCCTGTATTTTCAGTTCCTATCTGTACCAGTGTACCTCCTCTGGTCTAGCCAGTCTTGCAAGATAGAATTCGAGTCATGGTAGTGGGAGCGGGGAGGAAACCTTTAGGAACTAGAGGAAGGTTGTATTTCTCATCATTGTTACATCGCACCGTGACTGGCTCATCTCCTCCCCTAGACCCCTCTGCAAGGGGATCTCCAGTGGCCTACTAATGGGCTTTGGGTCTCCACTCCGCACTCCCCCCATCATTCACTATGGAAAGATTTTTTGTTCTGATGATGCCTTACACCTGATCCCTTCGACACCTCGTGGTTGCATAGGCTGGTGTGCTTCTTCCATGTGGGCTTTGTTGCTTCTGAGCTAGATGGCCGCTTGATTACCTTCAAGCCTTTAAGACCCCAGACGCTATACTTTTTGATAACCGGGCACCATCAGCTTTCTTCACCACATTTGCTTATGCACCCATTTGTCTTCAGTGATCCTTTCGACACCCCGTGATCACACAGGTTGATATGTTGTTCCATGTGGGCTTTGTTGCTTCTGAGCTAGATGGCTGAAACTTATTTGTTTATTTATTTATTTATTTTAATAGTTTTATTAGGGCTCTTACAACTCTTATCACAACCCAAACATACATCAATTGCATAAAGCATATTTGTACATTCATTGTCCTCATCATTCTCAAAACATTTGCTCTCCACTTAAGCCCCTGGCATCAGGTCCTCTAGGTCTAGAATTTCTGGAATTTAAGAACCTAGCACACTTTAAAAGGAAAAACAACAGGAACATTTTTACAGTGGTAATATGGTACATAAAACATATATTTGCTAGATATCTGCTGTAATAACAATAAGAGTGACTTAAACTCAAATTCATCAAACATTGGGTGGGGGAAGAAATGAGCTGATATCAGGGACTCAAGTGGGAAGAGAATGCTTTGAAAATGATGGCGGCGGCATATGTACAAATGTGCTTGACACATTGGATGAATGTGTGGATTGTGAGTAGAGATGTACGAACCCCCAATAAAAGTAAGGTAAAAAACCATTCTGAATGCAGTTCAGTGCTACTGTAATAATGAAGTGGTTCCGGGAGCTCGGACTTTTTCTGTCTGGTGAGCTCTGCAAGCCTCAACTTGCAGCTCCAGCTTCGTCCATCATAGCTACATTCCAACCAGCAGAGAAGGGGCATCCCCATCACTTCCAAATTCACTGCCATCGAGGGGATGCCGACTCATAGCAATACTAGAGTACAGGGTACAACTGCCCCTGTACTTTTCTAAGACTGTGACTCTGAGTAGAAAGCCCATCTTTCTCCCACACTTCTCATATCTTGTCTAAAACACAGTCATGAAATATCTAGGGAAATATCTATGTTAAAATTCTTTGGTTCTCAACGAGTAGTGGTATCGCCCTCATGGGAGTGGTTGGAATAGAATTTGGGTGGGGGGAGAGCCCTCTTTCTATGACTGAAAGCACTAATGACACGGTTGATGGGAGCCAGGAATGCTACAACTCTGCAATGGGAGGGCCTCACACTGTTCAAAGTGCTAGTACTGTGCCCTCACCACCTCCCACCTCACCCTGCCAAATACTATAATAGACAAAGATGAATAAGTATGTGAAGACATTATTCCCACTGTTGAGTCTATTCTGATTCATAGTGACCCTCTAGAACAGAGTCGAACTGCCCCCTTTGGGTTTTTGAGGCTATATATCACACAGGGAAACAAAGCCACAGGACCGTGACACATAAACTGGCCATGCTGCCAACAGAAGCTATGAGAGAGGCATGGGATGATTTCTTCCTTGCAGCCCCCAGAAAAGACCAGCCTTGATTTCAGACTCCTACCCTCTAGAACTGTGAGAGAATACTTTTCTGTTGTCTTAAGCTACCCAGTTTCTGATGGTTTGTTAACAGCAGCCCTTGAAAACAAATGGAGCTTCCTTGCTGCCTTCATTACAGCCAGGGATTTTCATTTACCCCAAACCCAGGATAGCATTCTTCAACCCTGGATTCTAAAGTGTCCAATAGTTTACTCTCATCCCAGGAGCACTGCTTAAGAGCTAAAGCAGAGTAAAAACCAGCCCTCAACTTCATTCATGTAAAACAGTGCTATTTCTTGTTGTTTTTGTCATGTTTGAAAAGAACTTGTCCCTAAAGACTCCAACTCCTTTTCGGTCTTTTCCTCCTTTTTGGCAAGAGGGTGGTGAAAGAAGCATGCTGTCTGTACTTACACAGCCCATCTCAACAATATCCCGTTAGAGCCTCCGTAAGTGTGATTCCCTTTTTTTTACCCCCGTCCTGCGCTCCCAGTTCCCGCCCTGTCCCTGGGCGCCTAGTAATCATCAAAGACTTGTCGTTTGGTGTCTAAACCACATTTCTCTTTCTTTCCTTATAATAATGGTGTCATTCAATATTTATCTTATACAAGATCGACTACGTTTGCAAAGCATCATGTTCTCTGTATTTGTCCACGCCTTGCAGTGTT